ATGTTTCTCTCTCGACATTTCTAGCTATCTCTCTCCCTTCCTCCTCTCTGTAAAATATCAATAAAATATATATTTTTAAAAAAAGAAGAAGAAGTAGTTATCTACTTAGCATTGTTTCCAAGACAAGATTCATGAACTCCCCCAAACCTGCCTTTCAGGAGAAATAGGGCAACCCCACATTTAAACCCGAATAACACTTTTCAGCCCGGTCACCTCAAGAAGTAGGGCATGTCTGCAACCACAATCAGCTTGGGTATGAAGATTTGGGAGAAACTTTGCTCAAGGAAAAGTTCTTGTCACCACCTAAAAAAAATGCTGGTGGATCAGATCCTTCACAGCTAAAATACTGATGCAAAAGCTTCACTAGTACACAAGGAATTTTCAATGCCTTGAAAATTACCTGAAATTGGGTCATATCCTAGGGATTGGAAAACATTTTTTTTCCCCCCTTTAGAGATCTTGGTTTCAGTCAGGGATAATATTCAAAATATGTAACCACCCTCAAGGTTGAACACTGACTAAAAATAGCCTGGTCACCCTGAGGGGCAATGTCAGCCCTGGCCTTTCATCCAATTCAGTTACACACACTCCCTGGAATGCTGTTTTATCTCCACATTGCAGAAACCGACTGTGTATATTCTGAGCCTTCACAGGGCAAGGAAATTTACTCCGTGAGTGCATTCATGCTTTTTATGTGTGTGAGCATGCCGTTGCAGGCGCTGCAGCAGGAGGGAGGCATGGGAGGGCTAACTATCAGGCCTTTATAGGCTCTGTCTCTCCATTTACAGAATTATTTACAGGATGTAATGGCTAATTTTATGTGTCAACTTGACCACTGAATGCCCAGATATTTGACCAAACAATTTTCTAGGTGTTTCTATGAGGTTGTTTCTGGATGAGATCAACATGGTAATGAGTAGACTGAGAAATGCAGATTGCCCTCCCTGATGTGCGTGGACATAACCTGAACAGGTGAAGGCCTCAGTAGAAAAGACTGACCTTCCTCCTTGCAGATGACTTTCATCTGGAGACATTAGTCTTTTCCTGGTTCCAGATTCGAACTGGAACTTCGGCTCTTATAGGAAGTAATGGCTTTCCTGAGTCTCCAGTTTGCTGAGTGAAGATCTTGGGACTTGTCAGCCTCTGTAACTGTGAGCCAATTCTTTTTATTTTTTATGTTAATCTTCAACTGAGATATTTTTCCATTGTTTTTTTTGTTTGTTTGTTTGTTTTTGGTTTTGTTTTTATTTTAGAGAGAGTGGAAGAGAAAGGGAAAGACAGAGAGAATCACATCGATTGGCTGCAGCTTGCACAAGCCATGACCAGGGCCTGGGCCAGGGAGGAGCCTGCAACCAAGGTATGTGCCCTTGACCAGAATCGAACCCAGGACCTCTTTGGTCCACAGGCCGACTCTCTATCCACTGAGCCAAACTGGCTAGGGCACGTGAGCCAATTCTTTACAGTACATTTCTATATGTATACATACTGCTAGTTCTGTTTCTTTGAAGGACCCTGACTATATAAAGAAACAGGTTATGTTTCTTTAAAGCTCATTCTGTTAGATCAGTGTTTCCCAAGCTTCTCTCATGATGAGAATCACCTGATGGAGTTGTTAAACTACAGATTCCTGAATCCCAACTAGTAGTTAAGTATACAATTTTACCTAAATGTTCCCAAAAATTCTAGTTTAGTACTTCTTAGTTGGGATTCAGGAATCTGTAGTTTAACAACTCCACCAGGTGATTCTCATCATGAGAGAAGTTTGAGAAACACTGTGTTAGATAATAGCAAGCTTTGAACACTCTTATTATTCAGGCTCAATCAGATTGTCTTTATTTTTTAAAAAAAGAAAATTTTAAAAATATTTAACTCAGTATTTAAAAAAATATTTTATTGATTTTTATAGAGTAAGAGAGAGGGGGAGAGAGAGACACATTGATGTGAGAGCACAACATTGATCGGCTACCTCCTATACACCCCCACTGGGGACTGAGTCCGAAACACAGGCATGTGCCCATACTGGGAATCGAACCAACAACAAATTGAGCTACATCAACCAGGTCCCTTTAACTTAATATTTCAATATGTTCATTTTATTTGGCACTCCATGAATAAAATTATTCTTCTTTAGTAATTCTATTTTATTTTTATTCCACACAGTAGGAGTGAATGGTCAGTCCCTCAGGCAGTCTTGGTTTCTCAGTTTAGGCTTTCTTTCACCCTGTGGTGGTTGGATCCATTGAACAAACTTCTATGGCCCTTTCTTCTTTGCTTGAATGTATTCACTGTTTGAAAAGAGGAGATTTCTCTTTAAAAATTCTAGGTGTTCCTATAAGCCTGCATTTCAGACCACCTCATGGTTCACTCATATTAGTGAATACCAATGGGGCTGCAAGACTGAAGAGTATGGGGCTAGGAGCAACTTTAGATTTACTCCTTTGTTGTCCCTGAACCACAAGCAAGCACTTTCCTCTGGTCACTTCAGTGTGGCTGCCCCTCCCCCACAGGTCCAGGTGGGTGAGTATGTATGCAGATACCATGCTAAGCTCTCAGCAAATGTTATTTAAACCCTTCTGCCCATATGAGGCAGGCACTCTGACTACCCTGCTTTGAAGATGAAGAAGCTGTTGCTTGCCTAAGGTTACCCCAAAGTCATACAATTCATTCCGGCCTCGGTAGAGATTTGAAGCCAGGTCAGTCCAAATCTTGCACTCTGAGCTACTACTGCCCAGCTCCCATCAGTACTGAGTCAGATCCTCTGGTTCTACATGTGGATGAGATGCTCAGTGAGTGGCAGTCTCTTCTTCAGTTTCCCCAGAGTTGCTGGATGACTGGAAGGAGATGTAAGAAGAGAGAGTCCTGGGTGGGGAATGGGATGGATATGGGGCATTCCAGGTTTAAGGTGCAGACATCATTCTGGAGATGCTCAGAGGATATTAAATATGCAAGACAGAAACCCCAAAGCAGCCAGGGCTCACACGGGCATTATTTGCATGGAGGAGAAAGTGGAAGTGTGGGTTTAGGTGAGGTTGGCAGTGAGTGAGGTATAGGAAACAGAACAAACTGGCAGGTTCTTGAGGGAGCATGAAGCCAAATAGAGGAAGGAGAGTAGGATAGAGCAGAGAGAGGAGAATCTGGCAGGCCAGGCTGCAATCTACTTGCCCCCGCTAGCCTGTTTGGTTTTACATCTCGTTTTTGGTGTATTCTGCCTCAGAACCCAATGGGAGCCTTCTCACAGCTTTGGTGGGCTTCTACCCCCAGAGGCAGTTTGCTGGGAAAACATTCTTGTGATGTTATTTTGGGGGGAGGACAAGGACTTTTGGTCCTTCCAGTCCAAGCATTGTTGGAGACCCAAGCCCTGTACACTCCACCGCCATTCAAGGAACTTCCATTGCCCGCTCTCCAAATATGTAGGACCTGGGTGACTTGCAGGAGTGTCTTTAAGTGGAGAGGCCCCTATCTTTAGCCATTTGGGTTACAGGAGAGTTTATTGTTCTGATGCCAGAGCTCTCAAATACCAGGGAACTGGGAATTTGGCAAAGTCTATCCTGAAATCTACATAAAAACAACATAAATTGGCTGGATGACAGTACAGTTGATAAATTTGCAGCAGGACGAGCCACCACTAATCTCCCTTTCAACCTCTGATTGTGTTGGACTGGTCCTGTTGGGGGACGGGGTGCAGACCGTGGGGCCTGAGATTTTGTGGCCCCAGGACTGTCTCTGGCCCTGCAAAGTCTGAGGTGGGGAGAGTCCTACTTCAGAGCAGCTTCTGGGCTGTGCCTGATGACCACTTGTACAACTGAGAGGTGTCTAGTAAGGTGCCTGAGATCCTATCCTCGTTGGCATTTAAATGACAAGATGGTGGGCTTGTCGCATCAAGGATGATCAGCAGCGTAGAGGAGCATCCCATAGGAAGAGTCAGGACCGAAAAATTTCCCAACAGAATGGAACTAAGAGACACATCTGACGCTCCTTCAGGATGTGAGTTCCATGAGAGCAGGGGTATCTGTGTCTATGGTAATGAATCCTGAGAACTTAGGATAGTTCCTGGTGCATGGTAGGTGCTCAAAAAACATTAAAGGTTGAATTAAGAAGCCCGAGTTTAAATGTCTGGCCTTGCACTTGGACCTACAGAAAGCCAACTGCATGTGGCTTAGCAATAGCACATTTACCAAATCCTTAGAAGTTTTCATTGACATTAGCTTGAAATGAATGGTGGGATGTGTTTCCAGAATCAATGCAGTCTTAGAGTGTGTGGACAGATGTATAGGGTGTAGAATGCTGGAGATATTGAACCATCAGTGTGACTACAAAGTATAACTCAGAGAAGCTGGGAGGGCAGTAGGAGGATTAGCCTGGAGAAAAGGCTCAGTGGTATTCTGGAAAGTTCTGGTGAGAAGACTGGAGCCAGGGGCAGAAGCCACAGGGGAAATGCACGGGCCAACTTCAGCATTTGAGGTTATATTGGAAAAGGCAGTGGGGAAGGGTGCGAGGTAAGGGACCCCCACTGATGTGAGACTCAGCCCCAAGTGGGAGGCCACCTTCATTGAGAGGCAGGTGTGACAGATGGTTTGGGGACCTTCCTGGGCCTGGTCATAAGGGGCAGGCAACCACACAATGTGGCTGCAGGCATCACAGTTATTCCTGGGAGAGTAAAGGAGCCCCTCAATGAGTTTGGCTGAGAAGGGAGAGTAGAAGCCCACCTATGGCCCATGACTCCTCAAATTTAGAGTTGAATGGGCCAGGTGTCCTTGCATTGACAACCACCAGGAAACTACTGTGGGGCTCCCAGCTGGTCTACCCAGGACTGAGTCACCTGCTTTTTCGGAGAGCTGTTCATAAGCATACATGTCCCTTGAATAGACACTTTACTTCTTTTCATACCAGAAAGAAAAGAGAGAGAGAGAGAGAGAGAGAGAGAGAGAGAGAGAGAGAGAGAGAGAGAGAGAGAAGGCCCACATTTACCTATCACCAAGATGGTCCCAGATTCCATTTACCTAAAGCTTTTTGAAGACTGTCAATAATATTTCCCAGGCTTCTTAGGCTTTTAATTTGATAAAATAGTTCCTTCTCCTCTTCTGTGGGAAAAATTAAGCACAATGATAAAAATTTTATAATTATGGTTTAATTCCAATTCACATTTTTCCTTTTAACTGGGCCATCTGGCTTTCAAGCCTACGTTCTTAGCTTCTCCCTTGCACTGTCTCCCAAGTTCCTGTGACCCACCATAAGCCCTTAATTCTCCTTCCCATCAGTTCAGAAAGGTGCTGGAAGCATCAGCTGGATTTCCTTTGTCCATACATATTCCGATATTCATCAGCAAGTACACAACAGGCTATCCGTGTGCCTCTTTTTCCTTTATCTTCCATTCCCATATCATGAGATATCCATTAGGGTACGACAAGAATCACTAAGCAGCCAAATATAAAGAACTAGAGGCCCTGTGCATGAAAACTGTGCACGTGTAGGGTTCCCTAAGTCTGGCTGGCCATCAGGGCCAATCTGCAGGACAACTGGTGGGTGATCAGGGGGTCACTGCTGGCACCCGCCTTGGCCAGCCTGGTGCCACTCGCTCACTGGCCCTGCCCACAACCCCCACCACTGCCCTTGCCCATTCCTCCCAAAACTCTTAACCTCTATTTTCTCTCAGACCCTGAAATGGCTGGTCTTGGCTTGGTGGTTAGGAGCAAAACAATTCACTTAAACAGGTTCCTTTGCAGCAAAGTGTGGCATTTGCCTTGGGGCCCAGATAAATCTAGTGACAGCTCAGAGGGCCATTCAGGGAGGAAGGGCCCTGTGGAGACCCCCAGACCAGTCTCAGGACTGAGCAGAGGATCAAGGGTGACAAACACAGTCGTGCTGAGCAGTACTGCACACAAGACAGATTTGGAAATTTCATGGTCCCTGTGAAGACCCTGGTGGACTGGTTTGCCCTGGTCAGTTTTTTTCTCCTTCATCTCTTACCCCTGATTCTGACTCTTCCCCTTTGCCTCTCATTCTCAGCCTGTCTCAGAATTTCCAGTCCATCCTTACTTCCTCCTGCTGCTTCAGGGAATGTAATGAGTCCAATGCAGAGAGGTTGTGTTCTTGAGACTAGCTCATGGGCAGTCAATTCAGTAGAGACCCACCTTGTCACCTCTCCTATTGTGGGCCCACTGCCATAAAGATGTCCAGCCCTATTTAATTTATAACCACCCGGCAATTTGCAGACGTCCATGAGTAGGACAAATCTAGAGGTGTTAGAAATATTAATTTCAACCAGGATCTTATTCTTGTTTAGTCCTTGCAAACATGAGAGGCTGGCTCCCTGGAGAAATGGGCTGACATGCAGATTCCTGGGCCTCCCAGTGGAGTCACTTGGTGAGGCCTGGGGGTATATATTTGAGTCAGCTCCCCTTTCTGCGCCTGCTCTACCATCAGGCTTGGGAGCTGCAATCTGGACTCCCTCTGGGTCCACTGTGGGGTCTCAGAGGGGTGTCCTAAGAGCTGCACAGGTGTCCTTTCCTGTTTAGTCTCTAGGGTAAAGACAAGATCTGTCACCCATGGAATACTGGCTCCTTAATCCTGGAGCCTTGACACACTGCTTTTCATTTCAGCAAACTTGTCTGTTTTCCTCACTCCTGGGGACATCCTGGGGGACACTCTGGGCCCACTCCAGGGGAGGAGCAGTGACTGAACTGAAAGTTTGGGAGGGGATGGGCAAAGTGACAGCACCTTCCTTGCCCTCTGACATCACCTGCCTGAGGAGACAACATTCCTACCAGCTCTTCTGACCATGGGTTCCAGGGTCAGATCCGTGAGCAGGGGAGAAGGGGGGAGGGAGGAAGGAGACAAGAAATCAGTCTGACCTGGTGAAGCAGCCATGACCTCCATCCTCCATCCTCTACATCCTCTAGCAAGGAGCTTTCTGGTCCCTCTGTGCTCCCCACCAGCCTCTGAACTCAGGCAAGGGAATTACCAGGTTGCACTTACCATTAAGGAAAAGTCTGTCTGCATTCCCGGAAGATAATGTCTTGTCATGGTGCTTATCAGTATCAGTCTGATCATTGGTTTTAATATGGGCTTTTTTGATGAAGAGCATGGGGGGGGAAGGGAAATGGAGAAAAGCATAAATATATACTTTCATGAACATTTTGGTCCAAAATTTATTTTAAAACATTAGGGTGGAATGCTAATCGAGTTTCCATTGGAAATGTGTGTTGGAAAGTTAATGTGTAACCAGAGAGTTAGGCATCATCTGAGTGCCTTGAACCCAGCAGTGTGGGTCTGGGCAGATGTTGGGTGAGCTAGTGCAAGGACTTAGAATTTATTTATATCTGGATGCAAACTTTCAAGAAAATGCAGAACTTCCCTGCTGCTTTATGCATTTTCATGCACTGCATGTGGATTTCTGGTGCCTGGCTTTCTCCTTAGCAGGTGTCAACCAAATATTCTGTCTTGGTTCTCAGTGTGTGTGCTACTTTATTATTTATTGATATGTTCATTTTGAACAACATGAAGCTGTATTTTTGGGAAAGTATGTTCTTTGCTTTTATCCTCTACCATCAGTGTGGCCTTGGGCACGTACTTTTCAGACCTTAGTTTGATCCCGTCAAATGGGGTCATGGTCACTGCTCTGCTCTGGGTGAAGCTTAGGTAAGCATCACACATGCTGGCTCATGGAAAGTTCCCATTTTCCTATGCCCCTGTTCCTGCAGTGGTGGAGCCCCATTTTCATCCCAAGCCCAATACCTTGCTTGCCCATGCACCCCAGAGATCACTCCAAAATTAAGTGAACTTATTTCTGCTGTTCTAGGTTTTATGGACATGGTTTGGGACAGCCACTTCTTTCACATGTCTATTTGCTTTTGCTCCAGAAAGAGCTGGCCTTAAGAATGCTAAAATGATGGGATTGTGCTTTATTCCCATTTATTTATATATATATATATATATATATATATATATATATATATATATATATTTTTTTTTTTTTTTTTTAGTGAGTAAAAAGGGAGAAGAGAGAGAGAGGGAGAGAGAGGTGGGGAGAGAGGGAGAGAGAGAGAAAAAGAGAGAGAGAGAGAGAGAGAGAGAGAGAGAGAGAGAAGAAAGACACAACAATTGGTTGCCTCCTGCAAGAGCTCTGACCAGGGCTGGGGAATCAAACCCTTAGGTCTGAGGGTTTACGCTTTAACCACTGAGAAAAACTGTCCAGAATGGGATTGTGCATTTGATACTACACAGTGCTAGGAATACACGCAATTAAGAGTTAAAAAAAATGTATACTTGCTTTTTTCTTTGTACTCTTCATTGTGGTCTTTTGTTTTCTTTGTGGTCTTTGTGTTTCAAACAATGATTTATCTGGATCCAGAAACTCTTGGACTACAATTTCATCTTGGGAAAAGCACACAAGAATATGTTAAAGCCAGTGATGCAGAACCCACACCTTTTTGCTCACACAGCAGTTCTGCAAAATCTGTGACTGGAAACAGGAAATCAGTGATTTCATGAATAGGGGAGTTGACTATGTAGTTTTTTCTTTTTTTCTTTTTATGCTCACCTGAGAGTATATTTATTGATTACTAGAGGCCTGGTGCACAAAATTCGTGTACTTATGTGTAGGGCTGTCCCTCAGCCCAGCCTGCACCCTCTCCAATTTGGGACCCCTCAAGGGGTGTCCAATTGCCTGGTGGGATTGGGCCTAAACGAGCAGTCGGACATCCCTCTGATAATCCAGGACTGCTGGCTTCCAACCACTCGCCTGCCTGCCTGCCTGCCTGCCTGATTGCCCCTAACTGCTTCTGCCTGCCACCCTGATCACTCCCTAACTGCTCCCCTGCTGGCCCGATTGTCCCTGCCAACCTGGTCACCCCAAACTGCCCTCCCCTGCCAGCCATCTTGTGTCCACATATGGGTGGCCATCTTGTGTGTTGGAGTGATGGTCAATTTGCATATTACCTATTTATTATATAGGATTATTTTAGAGAGAAACATTGATGTGAGAGAGAAACAGTTGCCTCCTCTACATACCCCAACCAGGGATTGACCTACAACCTAGATATGTGACCTGTCTGGGAATCAAACCTGTAATCTTTTGGTGTATGGGACAACTCTCCGAACAACTGAACTACCCAGCCAGGGCAAGAGTAGGCTTTCCTTTTCTTTTTTTAAAAAAATTCTTTATTATTGAAATATTACATTACATATGTCCTTTTCCCCCCTCATCATTGACCCCCTCCAGCCCGTGCCCCCCTCCCCTTGACCTTGGCCCAGGTCCTCACTGCCCCATTGTCTGTGTCCATGGGCCATGCATATATGCACACAAGATCCTTGGTTGATTACCTCCTGGCTTTCTAAGAAACTCGTCTGAGTTGGAAGGGCCTCCCTAACTAATAAACCTAAGACCATTCAGATCCCCTGAGTAATAAATATTGACCCCCAAAGATATGAGGCTGGAAACGTGGCCTCAGATAGTTATAATTTTCCTTCCTGCTCTGTTGTCATTCTGTCCCCACCCTGAGCCTTTCCCCAAGCTGTCCCTGTGTTTGCACAAATGTCTTTTCTAATTGCTACTTAATGTGACATGTTCTTCCCTTTATATCCTTCTGACCTCTCCTAGGAAGATTATTACTTAGTCTAGGCAGGGCTTTCTGTTGGACAGACTTGACCCACATTCTGGTTCTGCTCTCATGGGAATGTGATCTTGACAAGTTCCTCTCTGACTTTCGGTTTTGTCTTCTGTAAAATGGAGTCTGTATTACACCAGGCTCTTCTGAGGTTAAGATAAAGCAGTATATACAGGATAAGCATTAATACATAGTCTGGGACAATGGCAGCTGTGAGTCCCCCTTTATCAGCAACACAAAGGGCACCCGAAATAGCCCCCCCTCATTTCTGCAACACAGTGGTCATGCTGACCAGCACCCTTCATCTGTGTAATACAATGGTTACACTGACCAGCACCCCATAACTGCAACACAAAAGCACCCTGACCAGCCAGTCCACATGTTGGGCTGGGGTGGGGGTGACCAACCGGCCCTGGTTTGCCCTGATTTTCCTGGTTTAGCACGAATGTCCCACATCTTGGGAATTCCACAGCTTCATGCAAAGTAGACACGGGTCACCCCCGTTCCCACTCATGGGGAATACATGAATAAAGGGGATGAACAACCAAATATCACTGGAAGCAATGGTGTCACAAACATACACGGGGTAACACTCTTCCATGGTTCTGTCGCATTTCTACTCAACAGCCACGTTCTCCTTCCTCCACCACAGAACCTGAACCTGGCTGGAGCGATGTATGCATCCCAGTGGGGTACTTTGAGAACCCCGCAGAAGGGGTGGGCTATGGGCTCTGTGAAGAAAGCAGTGGGAGTTCCTGCAATCCATCTGCTCCATGCAGGGTGGTCTCCTGGAGACAAAAGGGAAATGGTGTCTGGACTGTATGTATCCCCCTGCATTTTCCTGCCCTGGAAGTGGCCATGATGTTTGGAACTGTGGACTCCATGTGTGACCATGGGACACAAGCTCAAGCAATGGCCAGGGTGATCAAAGGGATACAGCCTCATGTCACTGAGCTGCTGATGACACAAGATCACAACAACCCCTGCACAGCTGAGCCACTGCCATTCAGATTCTGCTCATGAAGCCAGTCGCATTCTTAGCTGGTGCAGCTCCTCTGGCAACACCTGCTTCCACCTTGACAAGACCTTGGCCACTCTCTGGGACAGCTTTTATACAGGAGAACCAATTTTAAGTTCCTAAAAAAAATCATGGCATCTCATTAGATTCTGGGTCATGGAGAAGAGTAGATGTTGATGGGAACCACAAGCATTTACTGAGCACCTACTGTAGACCAGAAACTGTCCAGGTGCTAAAGGGTCAAGGATGAACCAGCTCTGGTCCCTGGCCTCTGTCTTGAGCAGGCCAGCTGTGTGTAAAGGGTGGGATTCTACAGATGTGACCACACACAGTGCTTCAGCTGTAAGATAGAACTCGGGCAGGTAGGGACAGGCAGGGGACAGGAGCGTGGCTGACTAGAGCAAAGTAGTGGGAGTTCCTGCAATCCGTCTGCTCCATGCAGGGCAGTCTCCTGGAGACACTAAAGGCCATGAGCTGTGGGGCCATGGGAATGTGACTTTAGCCTCTAACCAAATCACATCCACCTTATGCAATCTGCACCAGGTTTTCTGGAAAACACCCACTGACAAATCCCCCAAGCCCATCCAAACACAAACCAGATGTTTGATAAGAAGAGGCTCCTTACCAAATACTCCAAGTATATCATCCTGAGGTTTTGATTTCCATGACTTTTCAGAAACTGGATCTAGTGAAGAAATACAACCCTACTAGTTTAACCATGTTCATGGAATCTGCACTGGCCTCTAAGTAGAGTTTATTTTGCAGAGCCCTGCTTGGAGCTCCTGTGCCTGGGTTCTCATCGGGAAACTGGTGGGCAAGGTGGCCTCCCTGTCCACTGTCCCATTTCTCAATACGTAAAGGGTCAGGATAAAAGAGCCAGAGCCAAAGGCCTATGGGTGCTGCTTGGGTGTGATTAGAACCAACCACCTGCAAAGGGGTATTCTGAGACCACAGGGGAGAGATTTTGAATGGGCTGGGTATTAGCCAATATTCAATTGTTTACAGGATTTTTGTAACCCTTGTTAGTGTTTCATGACATTGTAGATATATATACAAATAAAAAGGCCCTTATCTTAGCAAGAAAATATTTTCATAAAGTGATAAGACATCTTAGACAGTGCTAAAATACTTCCAGGAACAACCAATGTGTATGTGTGTATATAGAAAAAAAATAAGATGGCAAAGCATATATAAATGAAACCAAGTGATGGGGATTCTTTACACTATTCCTCTACCTTTGGGTGAGTTAGAACATTCCCATAATAAAAAGTTAAAATACAGCCTCCCCCTTTCCCCTGGCATGGCTCAGTGGTTGAGCCTTCAACCTATAAACCAGGAAATCCCCATTCGATTCCGGTCAGGACACATACCCAGGTTGTGGGCTCAATCCCCAGTGTGGGGTGTGCAGGGAGGCAGCCAATCAATGATTCTCTCTCATCATTGATGTTTCTCTTTCTCCCTCTCCTTTCCTTTCTGAAATCACACACACACACACACACACACACACACACACACACACACACTCACATTCCCCTAATAAAAGTTGGCATACATAATGTATGTTACTCTCCCATGGTGTTCCAGATTTCAAAAAGGGATTCAACTTACTCTGTTCCCCATGGAATAAGTGGTGAATCTGGGGAGATGGGGAGGAAGGGACCTGTGGCAGAAAGTCACCACCTGCCTGATTCAGGCCCCAGGGAGGAAGGAGCATGTTTTCTACCTGCCACCCCCCCCCCCACTGTGACTGTACCTGAAGATATGTTAATCCGATGGACCTCAGCTTCTTGCCAGCAGCACAGTAGCAGGACAAAGAGGGTCGCTCCTCTATTGGCTGCCATGTTCCCTCAGCTGAAGGAGGAAGGCTTCCTTCTGACGGGCCCACAGCACCCCTCACTTTCGTTGCCAGGATACCGTGGAATGCTTGGGGACCTGTGACATCACAGCAGTAAGTGAGCTGGGCCCTGCCCTGTGGGTGGGAGACAGTTAGAATCTGTGACTGGGAAGAGAGCGGGGCCTGACTGGGCTGTGAAAGGAAGCTTTCATAGGAGATGAAAATCTGAAGATGTATTTTAATGCTAGGTTTGATGAAGAGTGGACAGTGGTGGAGGACTCTGAAAGGTCAAAGGGTATGAGGTAAGTGTAGTCAATTCAGGGAAACTCAGCAAAGCTTGTTTGTTAGGATCCTCTTTGGTGTCCCTTGTCTTGGGAGAGCCAAGCCAAGCTCTCAGGACACAAAACAGGATGGAAGGAGAATACCATCATCGTTTTTATTAGTGGCTCACAGAAAAATGTATCCATATGAAAGCCAGTCTGGTGAGAACCGTAACCTCACTGGTCAGTAAGGCTGCCTCGAACAACAGCTTATAGGACGTAAGCCTATGTTGTTACGTATCATTCTCCGTTTTATGACAAATAACACCAAGGACAGAGACAAAGGAAAATAACGGCTACCCCTAGGAGGGAAAAATCAATAACAAGAGTACTTAAATTCTTAAGAATCATGTCAAATAAAGTATTATTTTAAAAAAAATTTTAAATTGATTTTAGAGAGGGAGAGAGAGATAGGAACATCCATGATGAGAGAGAATCATTGATTGGCCTGGGCATGTGCCTTGACCAGGAACCAAACCGCAATCTCCTGGTTCGTAGGTCAACGCTCAACCACTGAGCTACGCCCTGTTGGGCCAAAGAACTAATTATTACAATGTGTTCTCTGAATCCAGATTTGGAAAGGAAAAGATAAGCAGTGGCTGTTAGCATTCTCACTTGACCAGACTCTGAGCAGAAGTCCAGGAGGCTGACTGGGTAAGTATTTCCACCTTCATAACTTTTTCAGGTGTGCTGGGACCTCAACTACAGCCTCCGGAGTGAGTAGCAGCTTACTCCCTCAGCTCATCTTTGTCGCCAACACGTCCAGGAGGAAAAACTTTTCGCCTGCCCTCTTGGGTTCTGAGGTTGGCAAATTGAACTATCAAAAAGATAGAGTAGCAGGAGAAAAGGTTTGCCATTTTTATCAATATTTACATGCAAGGAGTTCACAGAAAAGTGAAACTCAGAGAAGTAGTTAGACTTGGGGACTTATGTATAATTTTAACAAAGAAAAGGGGGTTCGGATCTCAAGGGATGATCCATGAGGGGGAAGCCACTAAGAAATACACAGGGGAACTAATGGGAGATGAGGGGGTGTTTATGTGCATTCTCAGTATGGGCTCTTCGTTTCTACCACCCAGAGCGCTCCCCTGTCCTGGTAGCGGGGAGGGTGCCACGTTCACAGAGGGAGGCTTATAGGCACAGAGCTCTGCCTCTCTCTATGATCCCTGATCGCCTTCAGCTCAAAATAATCCTAAATGGTTATTGTAGGGTGACATATTCTGTTACCCTTCTGCCATTAAACAGTTTGCCCTTATATCACCAGTTTCCCCAATTAAAGATCATTTTCAAAGAACAGTTGTTGTTTTTGCTGCACTGGAAACGGGGTCCCTGTGATGTCACCTAAGAGCATCTCCCTGGCCACGCCTGGGAGGGTGAGGAATGGCTGTAAGATCGATTGGGGTTGGAATGGAAGGCTGTCCCCAGGCTCCCGGGATCTCATCCTCATCCGTCCCGCTGTGGAGAATGTCCAGCCTTGTCTTCACCAGCCCCAGGAATTCTCTGCCACGCCAAGGCTTTAGTTCAGTTTAGTCTCTGTCCCCATCCGGCTGGCTTGGTCTGTTTCCCACTGCGCTTTGGCTGGCGCTGTGTCTGGACCCATGATTGGAGCCCTTGCCTGGAGTCTTCGTGGCTGGTAGGCCCTCGTGGCTGCTAGGGAGAGAGAGCATGGAGTGCACAGGGCAAGCCTGGAGGGAAGGAGAGAAGGGAGAGAAGGAGGAGGAGGAGGAAGAGAGGAGAAGGTCGAAACCTTTTTTCAAATCTGGAGCTCCGTGGGAGAGTAGAATATATTATGTATTTTAACTTTTTAAAAAATATATTTTTATTGATTTCAGAGAGGAAGGGAGAAGAAGAGATAAAAACCTCAATGATGAGAGAATATCATTGGTTGGCTGCCTCCTGGGGACTGAGCCTGCAACCCAGGCATGTGCTCTTGACCTGAATTGAACCTGGGACCCTTCAGTCTGCAGGCCAATGCTCCTTCCACCGAACCAAACTGGCTAGGGCTGTATTTTAACTTTTTTTTATTTTTAATATTTTATTGATTTTTTACAGAGAGGAAGGGAGAGAGAGAGAGAGAGAGAGCTAGAAATGTCAATGAGAGAGAAACATCGACCAGCTGCCTCTTGCACACCCCCTACCGGGGATGTGCCCGCAACCAATGTACATGCCCTTGACCAGAATCGAACCTGGGACCTTTCAGTCCGCAGACCGACATTCTACCACTGAGCCAAACCAGTTTCGGCCTGTATTTTAACTTTTTAAAAAATAATATATATTTATTGATTTTAGAGAGGAAGGGAGCGGGAGAGAGAGAAACATCAATGATGAGAGAGAATCATAGATTGGTTGCCTCCCTGCCCGCCCACACTAGGGGTTGAGCCCACAACCTGGGTATGTGTCCTGACAGGAATCGAATGCGGATCTCCTGGTTCATAGGTCGAAGGCTCAACCACTGAGCCATGCTGGGGGCAGACACTCAACACAGGAGCTGCTCCCTGGTGGTCAGTGTGCTCCCACAGAGAGAGCACAGCTCAGCCAGAAGCTAGGTGAATTATAGGTAATACAGAAACTGCTTTTGAGATCATCTATCTCTGTGGATCCATTCAGCTCTCATTATTTTGTTCCTTTTCTACTTTTGCTGATAATTATTGAAATTTAAAGGTTTTCCATAAACATATTTTATTGTTTTGGTCCTTTTGTGCTCCACCACTAAACTAGTGTAATTTATCAGTTCACCTTTTCACACTTCCTCTGGCTCAGAGCCATTTTAGCTTCTCTAGGTGTGGATCTCTTGGTATTTGCCTGCAGAATTGACAGGTTGACGTTGGGTCTTTTGTGGTCTGTATTAATGGATCTGTTCTTAGAAACTAAGTTGCTTGCTAAGAAAATTACCCTCTTCACTTCTGTTTTTAGTAGGGAGGCCTTGGCATTTGTCCAACAGTTAATGAGAAATCGTGGTACAATTATGTTTTATTTTTCCCCTCAGTTCTTTCTGTGGTTGACATAATGCTGAAAATGAAAGAACCTTGAGTGGAAAAGGCATCAATAAAATAAAAGCTTATTGCAATTATATTCTGACCTTGATTTTTCCTCTATAACTATATATTTTTCCACAGGCTTAATTAAATTCTAAGAGGTACCTATTCCTCTCGGTGTTTGCTACCAGATGTTTACTGGTAGAGTAATTGCATGCTGCTTTGCCCTCAGATAAAGTGATGCTTTCATAACTTCTAAAAAAGACAGAATTGTCTAAGATTTTTTAGCTTTTAAAAATTAAATTTTCTTATTGTTCATATTGATAAAAACATGGCTGCACTCCAACTCTCAGGATAAATTAGTGTGTTGTTTCTAGAAACTAGCTCTGATGTTTGTAAAGAGCAGATTAAAAACTATATAGGCAATTAACCTAATCTGTTCACTGACACATTATAAAACAACTAGAGCCCAGAGCACAAAATCTGAGCACTCAGGGGGAGGAGGTTTCTCAGCCTGGATTGTGAGAGGGTGCATGCCAGCCCGAGGGACCCCACCAGAGCATGATCGGGGCTGGGTAGGGACAGGGGAGGTTGGCCAACCGGGAGGGGCCGAGGGAAGGCTCCAGGGTTTGTCTGGCCTGTCTCCCTCAATCCTGATTGGCTGGAACCCAGCAGCAAGCTAACATACCAGTTGGAGGGTCTGCCCCCTGATGGTCAGTATAAGTCATAGCAAGTGGTTGAGAGGCCTTAGGATATTATTAGCAAATAGTGGCCTTGCGCACAAAATTCGTGCATTGGCGGGGGGGGGGGGGTTCCCTTAGCCCAGCCTGAACCTTCTCCAATTGGGGACCCTTTGGGGGATGTCTGACTGCCAGCAGATGGACATCCCTCTCAAAACCTGGGACCGCTGGCTCCTAACTGCTCACTTGCCTGCCTGTCTGATTGCCCCGAACTGCCTCTACCAGTCTGCCTGATTGCCCCTAACTTCTCTGCCTGCCTGATCACTCCTAACTGTCCTCCCCTGCCAGCCTGATCTCCCCCCAATTGCCCTCCCCTGCTGGCCTAGTTGCCCCCAACTGTCCTCTGCCAGCCTGATCTTGCCCAATTTCTGTCTCTCTTTGTTTTTCTCAGCAGTCTTTCAGGCCTCCCTGCCTCCCTGCCTCCCTCTTCCTCTTTCCTGGCTGGGAGAAGGCAGGGCCAGTGGGGGCCACTCCACCTCTGCCCACCCTCCCTTCCATCCAGGCCTCTTCAGGCCCAGTCCGTTTTGTTTCCTCATTCTGAGAGCAGCTCTGAGAACGAGGTGAGAGGGAGGGAAAGAAAGGGAGAAAAGGCTGTGAGCTGGTGGGCACTGTGTGTGTCTGTGTGTGTGCGCAGTTATGAGTAATTCTGAGTGCTGGCCTCACCTCCGCTGGCCCCATCTTCACTGCCTCAAGTCTTCACCTACCAGAGCCTGCTGCACACACAACCTGGGAGTTAGGCTGAGCCTCTGGTCGTTGTGGATGTGATGGACCCAGGGTTTTTATATATTAGGATTATGCTTTGGTTGGTTGAACGTCTGACTGGATGACCAAACACTTAGCATATTAGGCTTTTATTATATAGGATGAGGTTTAGCATGGTGGCTTAAAATAGCCTTTTAAAATTCATGCTGCATTTATAAATTGTTTTGTTTCCTATAAAAAATCATTTAATTATAGATTAAAGTGATAACC